CCATGGTATCACTGCGGTCCCGGTCGAGCCATTTTCATACAATAGTTTCCAAAGCTTCATCAATCTCATTGTCCTAGATGCTCATATGACTATGAAAACCAAAAAATATTCTCTGAAGCCAGCATCTCAATTAGTTTACTAACACGCTTAATCAATTACTTCGCCAGTCGAGTATGAACGCTTGAATAACTAGCATAAACAGGAACGGGAACTTTTGGCAGCATTTCAAATGGGCAATATTGTAATGATAATATAGGGCAATAATATAATGGACTCATAAAATCTTCTTGCGTACAATACATGTATTTGTCACCATCCCTAGTCTACCCACTGATGTCGTAAAAACCGACTTAAGGGACTACATATTTACAATCTCCGGCCAACGTAAGCGCGGGCTTGCGGACGGCGAGCATGGGTGGCTCGCCGCCTGACCAGAACCAAACCCGAGTGTACGGCGCGTCGCGTTCCGTGCGCCCCTCAAGAGCCGTCAGACCACCACAGATGGGGTCTAATAGAGCTGATGCCGATACGGAGCCGCGGAGGACTTAAATGGTTGCCGGGACTTCGACTCGAAGGGTAGGAATAAGAACGAGGTGGTTTTTAGTCAGTAAGAATCTGACACCCCCTCCCGCCTCACCCAGGCGGGAGAAGTCATTCGATGATTTTCCCCCCTTAAAAAAAGGGGACTACATATTTGTTAGAGACCGGGCAGCAGCCCTCTCCGATACCTAAATGTGAACCTTTTAACCTGCGATCTCCAAATCGCCTGCCGAATTCATTTTTGTCTTTGGCGGACAAAATTCCCTTGTCTACGCAGGACCTTAATAGTAGTTGACCTTAGTTAGATATATTTTTTGTATTTGCCTAGACTTCAAAACAGACCTTAGAGTCTGTATCGGCACTTCTTTTCAGAGTAGTCAGTTGGGAAATGTTGGCCTCGTTTTGATTTGTTCTTTTATTTTATAATCGTGTAAAATATTTTTATTTATTTATTCGACTTATTGTGGTATTTTGTAAGCTATTTGCAACAATAAATTCACTTGTTTCACTTGATCATCTTGTTCATCGTATTTCCGGCTTGATTTAATTTGGACACAGGAATAATTCACAGTATTGGCCCATCTTTACATGGGACTCAAAATAACTGACGATAAGTGGTTGTTACATTTATATAATTTTCGCATTCTATCCTTCAGTGAATAAAAGGTAAAAGGACCTGAAGATCTTTTATTACGGGTCAAAGGCATGAATTAACCTAACCTTAAAATACGCACAGGTACCCTAGGGTACCTAACCTTTTGGAAATCATGGGTATTATACTCCTACGGGTGAACGGTACACTGATTTTATTTGACAGGTATAAAGCTATTTTCGTGCACTTTAATTTAGGGCAGGAAGATTTTGCGGTGACTGACCTCTTTCGCGAGGAACCTCTTTTTGGGTCGGTCCCCTATACAATATTTGACAGCTAGATCGATTGCTTATTTACCAATTACAAATTGATTCCTGAAGGATGTAATTGAATTAGTTTTTTGTTTTCTTCTCTAAATAAGAATGTTTTCGTTTTATCAAACTCATCTTGTATTTGTATATTAGACCCGGCTTTACTCGGATTATTCTGATTTCGTTAATTTATTATTTTACACAAACCTTGTCATAAGTGTCAGGACAATAATGATGACGATAAAGACGAATAATCAAATTTGGTGCAGCCATTCAAGGGTTATTTGATATGAACACTTATTTTTTATATGGCTTTGAAATCGAAGCATCGATTTGAAAAAAATCTTTCAATTCACGCTATTTTTCCGCTAATATTATTCCTACAAGATCCTATCGCATACAAACCTAGTACAAGACAAATGACTACGATCAATAGTAAACAATCTTATGTAGATCATACAGGCAGGTATTACGTAGGTAAAGCTACTTTAACAATCCAATTTCTTAAATCGATTTTGAATCTTAAACCACAAAAGAATAAGGTTAGAAATCGTTTAAACTAATTTGACAGTCACGGCTACCTTTACATGCTGCGTGTCTTAAAGATTATTTATTTCATTTCGTCACGATATACCCATTATGACGTCATTGTTACTATATTACAGTTTGATTTATAGTTTAAGTACAATTTTTATTGGAGTTTTACCAATTATTTAAGTAAACGTAAATAAGTATTATGGAAAGATACACGAATCGATCATTTTAACGTACTAATGTCATATCTACTACTAATGTACTAATGTCCTTATAACTTGTAAAAAAGTCGAAAGGGTGCAAGTTGAAAGCATAAAGCATTGTATTCGATTTTTCTTATGGAATAACCCGATAAACGAGACAAACGGATCGCCTAATGGTAAGCAATCAGCGTCGCCCATGGACACCTGGAACACCTGAGGCGTTACAAGTGCGTTACCGGCCTTTTGGGGATAAGAATTTTAGGAATGTCGGTGATTGAGGGATTGCGGAAGGGGTAACCGGTAACCTCACTCACACGACGAAACATAACGCAGGCGTTGCTTCACGTCGGTTTTCTGTGAGGTCGTGGTATGACTCCGGTTCCGGTCGAGCCGTCCCATTCGTGCCGAAGCATGGCTCTGCCACACTTAAAATTTGTCAGTCAACATAGCATTGTTCGATTGGAGATCTTGATTGGAATTTTATTAAATTATAAAATCATTACGTAGTCGAAATTTCGAATTTGAAATACTATTTACTTAAACTAATCTAACTTAAAAATCTAACTCTCAAAAGGCCGGCAACACATTCGTAACGATTCTGGTGTTGCGGGTGTCTATATGCGGCGCCGATTGCTTACAGGAGATGCGTCTATCTCGTTTACCACCATATGCCACCTAACTATAAAGTACTTCCTAAGCAGATAAGTACTGACTAATAAACTACACTGACGACACACACAGGTCTCCCTTTGTTCGTGATCGAATTACTTATGGTAAAAAAAATAATATTTTTACTATTTTATTTATTAGCAACACTTGATTTGGTTCCTCCCCGGAATATGTAAATAGATGAATAACAGACTAACTAGAATATAAGTAGGTTGGTATACTATATACATAATAAATATCTATATTAACTCTAACGTGAATTGTTACGCGTTATTCCCCGAAGTGATAAATATTACAGAATATGGTAATACTACTGTTTTAATGTTAACTACATACATACATAGATATACGTCGATAGAGATATAATTGGGATGATGATGATGACAGGGTATGAAAATTAAAACGACGGACACACATCCGCTACACGTTGCCCGGCAACCAGGTGCCCCGCGATGTGTAGCGGGTTCGATTCCCGCACGGAGCCAATCTTTGTGTGATTCACAAAATGTTGTTTTGGTACTGAGTGTCATGTGCATGTGAACTTGTATGTTTGTGAATGCAACCGCGATATAGGAGAAAATCCTAGTGTAGGGTAACGTTTAAAAAAAGAGATATTCCAAAAAGGTACCAGTTATTGTGTGCCCAGCCAGCGTAGTCTAAGACGGCCCTGGATATACGGCATTTTACCCATTTTTTACTACTTTCAAAAATCTTTAACAATTGGGTACTTACCTTAATCAAAAATAAATTATTTCGACTGTCCAATACAATAAAATATTAAAAAATAATCACACTAACATTACTTGATTTTATGACCAACTTAATTTTATTATTTTTCTAGAAAATTTTTAAGAAATAAATATGTTGTTTGACGCTAACAAACCGTGACGTCACAATACACAATCTCGTACAAAATTCATAATAAACTGTCGTTTTTGACAGTTCAAAAAAAGAAAAGATGCAAGGGTGAAAGATGTTGCTTAATTTTTTTTTCATACATTTTTAACATTCGGCCGGCTGTGTGCTGTGCACCTCGTAAGGAAAGTTTAAAAAAAACATTATATTATTTTTTCTTCTTACCTAACTTTTTAGACTTTGAAAAAAGAAGAAGGTTCTCAGTGTATATGTATGTATGTATATTTGTCTGCGTTTATCTCGCGATTTATTGTACCTATTTTGATGCGGTTTTCAAAAAAGTGAATGTTATTACTCTATGATGTGCCTACATTGTACAATTCCCCTACTCGAGCAAAGTAATAATCAGGTCGGTAGATTTATATGTTTTAACAAGAAGAATTGGTTCAGCTTGAAACTCGTCCCTTTATTATAAAATTTACTCGGGAATAAAGCATGGCGTCGTTTTGTATGTACACACGGCTACAGATCGAGCTTTACATAACCAGTATAAACTGAACGTTAAATGTGCGGAAAGGTGATGCGACGCGACACCAGGATTAACTGGTTTTGTATAGATTGGTGTGTGGCCGTGTGTACATAATACTTAATAATAATATGTAGGTACCTACACCTATCAATCTAAAGAAATCCACGACACTGGCGCTAATCATATACCTAGCTTTTTATTAGAATTCTGAACAATTGTTATAATTTCTTCTACCACCTCTATAGAAAAAAAAAATCATAAAATTTTATCTTAAAAAAATATTATTAAGATTTTGAAAACTTTATGGAACATGTTTTTGCAATGAAAATCAAGTCATTATGTCTACGTTTAGCGAAATTGTGCAACTCAGTAGGTAGATTATGTTTATTTATTTATAATCGGAGATTAACGAGCTAGTCAGGAAATTATTTACAGATTACTAGCCAGTCTGTATCGAATTTATCAACGTTATCTCAATCACATTAGAGAGAGTTTCTCCAATCGTGTTACGTCAGACACAGAAACATTCTGCCAAGGTTACTGAAAACTTTTTTCTGAAATAGATACCTGAAGCTAAATACGTACGTTCATATTTATTTTACTATAAAATCACTAACAACCAAACCAAGCTTTTGTTCTATAGTTATCTGAACAATAAATAAACTATTCGCACATTAGAACCTCCTTAGACAATTTTCACAAGGCTTTTCCACAAAACCTTGATCATCTAATGTTTCAGAAAATTAAAAAAATAAAACGTCACTTACGTCATTTCTGCTGCGTAACGTGCTTCGTTTGGGTCGCAGGAGGACATCTTTGAAGTCCAATTTAACTTCGTTTATAATATTGGGCATCTTTCACTGAACTAAAGTCTTTGGTAATCGTAAAATGTTTTTGCTAAGCGCTGTGCACGGCCGCGCGTCCCTTCCCGCGCGCTGTATCGACTGCCCGATGCAAACAGTGTTGCTAAGAAATAAACTTTCTTTCCCCACGGGTAAAATGTAGATGTGAGTCAGCTGATGTATGGGTCAATAAACTCTCGACTAAAATAGTGGATATGTTATTAGAATTTTTGGATAACCTACATAATTAAAGCTATTGACGTATGTGTTTAGGAACTTTATTTATAGTATAATTGATTATTTTGTTACATTCATGAAAAATTTAAATGGTTTTTTTTGTTTTTTTTTTTAAGTATAAATTAATTTTCAGTAACAGTGTTCCTAATAGAACTAGGAATAAGCTTTTAATATAATTATAAAAAAAATGAAATTAAAATATAGAAAATCTACAACAAATTGGGTAATTTTCCTTCACTGGCAACACCGTTTAGAAGCGTGACACGAAACGTCACGAGGGCGCCAGAAATACTCGCTTTCAGTCGCTAGGTGAAGGTTATTTAATGACCGACGTTACACTATAAAAACTTTACATTTATTCCACACAAAACGAAAATTGTCCCTCTTATTTAAAGTAGTTTCTTTTTAACGTCGCATTTGGGAGCATGTTATTGATAAAACAAGTCAGCTGTTCAGTTCGGGCATGCGCAACGCGGAAGATAGTCTTGCCAAATTAAAATGACATTGGAAATCCGACCGAGGACGAAGCGAGTGGTGACCATCTTATTTTACGCGTTTAACCTTACTGTTGTAAATGTCAGATAGGCACTTAGCATTAGGTATTTTATAATGAATGCACTATGCGTGATTGATAAACTTATTGCGAGTTAAATGATTATCATCTTAAGTACTTATAGCTACTAAGAATTGTAAAACGATGAATGATTAGGTAGATATTCTAAGAAAATAATGTATGTCACGCGAAAAGTAAGTGGTACCTACTTTGGTACTGAGTATTTAGATTATAAATTGGGAATGATGCAGGAATTTGTCAAATCGATCCGTATTTATCGAAGCTTGTTCATCATCAACAGCCTATAAATGTTCACTGCTGAGCAAATCCTCTTCTCACACGCAGGAGGTTTGAGTATTAATCAACACGCTTGCTCAATGCGGGTTGGCGATTTCAGCCTTGTAATTGGAAATGATAAGTCCAGGTGTCTTTTTTTTATATTTGATGGGGCGACGTTTGACCACTATCTCGCCTGGCGGTAAGCGATGATGCGGTCTACGATGGAGCACGTCGTCCCATAAGCAACTTATTCACTCGGGCCTTGAAAACTCCTTCTCCACGGATGTTTTCCTTCACCGTTTGTCTGTGGTGTCTAGATAATCTTAGAAAGTACATATTATAACTCAGAAAAAGACACATTGGTACTTGCCATTGGTAGGTTTCGAACCCTCATGCAACCTCCGGGCCCCCACGAAGCATGTTTAATACAAACTTATTTAAACAAATCTTATATATAACACTAGCTGGTTGCACACAGTATCGCCAGCTCTGCTCGGCTCCTATTGGTCATAGCGTGATGTTTCTTTCCTCGATAAATGGGTTATCCTACACAAAAATATTTTATCAAATCGAACCTTTAGTTGCTGAGATTAGCGCGTTCAAACGTACAAACAAGCATTTTCAGTTTTATATAATTGTATAAGTAATTGTGTATTTTATAAATTTTACATAACATACCATCACGCCTTTTATCGCCGCAAGGGTACGCAGAGGTGCACATTACGGCAGTTAGTGCCACTATATCTTAATAATATTTAAGATTAGTGGCTCGTTGGCCGAGTGGTCGGCTATTTATACGGGGTCTCGGGTACTCGGCCTATATATACGGGGATAAAAGGCGTGATGTTATGTTATAAGTCAAAATAAAAGTCGGTACTGAACGAATACTACATCTATAATAAAATCATTGTGGCATAGAGGTCATGTCCATGATCAGAGTGGAGCGAGGGTCTTCCGGAGCCACGGAGACAAGAGTGAACGAGGGTTCTGTGAAAGAAACAAATTTAAATCAATTATTTGAAGTCGTTTTGTGTTTCAGAGTATTCCGCAAAAACCATCATGGTTATCATAATAATGACAGCTACAAGGTGTCCGCTGCTGAACATAGACGACGCTAAAATCTTTTCTTTATCCTGCATCACTTTGTCCATCAATTAATAAGTTTTTCGACTAACTCACGTAATTTGACGAGGAACTCGACTCAGCGACTGTCGCGCTGCTACTGTACAATAGCGTCACGAGTCGCGGAATGCTGCCCATGAATATGAGCCTCTAGCATGGCTTGAAACTAGTAGAGTTCCTCGTCAAATAATTGGGTACTTGCCATTCCCAACTAGTCAAAATAAATACTTTTTTCGAACTGTAAAAAACGACAGTTTCCTATGAATTTTGTACGAGATTGTGTACTGTGACGTTACGTTTTTTTATCGTCAAACGGCATACTTATTTCATAAAAACTTGCTGGAAAAATTATCCCCCTCCCTAGTCTCCCGAATCCCCGAATCCTCCACAATCATCAGCCCTACTGGGCCCCATCTGTGGTGGTCTGATGGTTTTTTGAGGCACGCGTGGAACGCGACGCGCCGCACGCTCGGGTTTGGTTCTGGTCGGGCGGCGAGCCACCCATGCTCACTATCCGCAAGCAGCTTACGGTAGCCGAAGATCATACCGCGATCCCCGGCGCCCGGAGTGTCCTTCGCGACGACTGCCTCATGCGCGCTGTCTCCTAGCTAGCACGACTGCTTCGCAAAAGGAGGAGACGGCATCCCAGTCCCCCTCGCTCCGCATCATGACCCGTCCTAAGTACATATTAGTAAGAAGATGTATGTCCTCACCATCATCTTTGTCGTCTCCGCCCGCCTTCCATTCTTCAAGGTGTGGTGTGAACACGGCTTCCTTGTAATTTCCGTAACCATCACACTCCACATCCGAACCCGTGCGACACCGCTCACGAGCGCAATCTGTGATAATTAACAAATTTATGGTAATCTGTGGCAACATCGGCATCGTGAGGAGTGTATTTGTTAAATCTATTATTTTACTCACTCGTGTACTACTACATAGTATAAAACAAAGTCGCTACCCACCGTCTGTCTGTCCCTATATATGCTTAAATCTTTAAAACTACGTGACGAATTTGGTGTGTTTTTTTTAATAGATAGAGTGAGGAAGGTTTATAATATGTATAATGTACCTATAATACATGCATATTGCACCCGTGCGAAGCCGAGGCGGGTCGCTAATATTAAATATACTGCTGTTTGTTGTCCTTGATAAATAAATAAATAAATCTGTAGATTGTTGTTATTTTCAAATCATTTTCGCAAACGTTGATCTTTTTTCAGTCAGCTGAAAAATTATCTAATGCCTCTTGCTCCGTGGCGGGGTCTCAGCAGTGCCTATGGTGCCTATGGTGACCTTTGCGTTGCTAACCACAGAAAAAGAAATGGAAGCCATAACCAATAGTAGTTTACTTATAAACATACTAGCTTTCACCCGCGGCTTCGCTCGCGTCACAAAAGGATAAAAAGTAGCCTGTGTGACATATACCAACACACACAGCGCCATCTATACCAATACTTTTATTTTCTCTCGGGAATATAATTTTTTCCGGGATAAAAAATACTATATAATATAATCGTTTTTTTAGAAGTCTGGATGATGAATGAAAACTCACTTTCCAATTTATAATATTAGTAAGGATCACCAGCCCATGACGGTCCACCACTGAACTATGAGCCTCCTCTAAGTCCCCAAAGTCTCCTCTAATAAGAGACGTTACCATAATCTCGACACGAGGTAGGAGATTGCAGCTTTGACTGCGCGATCGCCGTGGTGGTTACGTAACCGGTTGCCAAGCAACGTGTAGTGGGTTCGATTCCAGCACGGAACAAGACTGTGTGATCCACAAATTGTTTAGGATCTGTGTGTCATGTGTATGTGAACTTGTATGTTTGTAAACGCACCCACGAGAAAATACTAGTGAGGGGCAACATTTAATTTAATAAAATTAAGTTCAGTTAATTAAGCAGAGCTACTACTCGGAGTTTGTCATATATTTCGAGAAGAGCATGAAGTAGTCACGAATATATTGCCTTTACTACATGGCTAGTTTAAAACTCACCGCAATTCATATTGGAGACTTCAACCCGTGGGACTTTGATCCCTAAGATGAAGCTGCCATCTTCCAAAGCACAGTAACATACGAAGCGACGACACTACAATCATGAGGATAGAATTATAACAAGTCGAACACTACAATGAATATTAACATAACATAACATCACGCCTTTTATCCCCGAAGGGGTAGTCAGAGGTGCACATTATGCTACTGTACAATGTAACACCCACTTTTCACTATTTATGTTATGAGTTTATGAGTCCCATGTAATAGGGGGTGAGCCTATTCCCATATACAGGGCACAATTCCAGACTGCGTGCTACTACTGAGAATTTTTTTTAAAAACCCTGTAATATTTTGCCCGATCCGGGTATCGAACCCGAGATCCCTTGTCCGGCAGTCGCACTTGCGACCACTTAGCCAACGAGGCAGTCAATGCAAAGCAATGCAATGAAAATGTCAGGCAATGAGAATAGTATTCGTGTAGCTTTTATATCACTGAAGTTTCTACCATATCAGCACAGAATTAAGATACATTTTTATTTGTTGTAGGTAAAATTGCACCATGTACCTGAACGGGGGCATACAACCAGAGCGGAGTGCACTGTGGCGCGTTGTAATGCAGATGACCCTCTGGACCGAACTTCTTCTTGAAGTACTTCAACTCACGTTTACATGGCTCTGTAGAATAAAAACGTACAATGGACAAACAATCTATCACAATAAGCCTATTTTACCAACGGACGAGTCCTGGTGTGATTCGAAAGTTGAGCGTTTCTCATAACAAAAAGTTTTGCTCTTGTCTGCAAGCTTGACAAACGAGTTTGAGATCACAGATCAAAAGGACCAGGTTTATAAGCAAATGTTTTTTTTAAGGGGGAAAAATTATCCAATGACATCTCCCGCCTCAAAAAAGGGTTAAACGAGAGGGAGTGTCAGACTCTTACTGACTAAAAACCACCCCGTTCCTACTCCTGCACTTCGAGTCGGAGCCGCGGCAACCCGTTACGCCTTCAGCGGCTCTGTATCGGGCATCAGCCCTACTGGGCCTCTTGGCACCCACAGGAAAAGTAGCGTGTGTTGAAAAAATAATTTTACTAAATTACTAATTACCTACTTCCGCGTAGTTTCACCCACTCTGCTCGGCTCCTATTAGTCATAGCGTGATGTTTATGCCTATACCCTTCCTCAATAAGTGGCCTATGCAACACAAAAAGAATTATCCAAATCGGACCAGTAGTTCCTGAGATTAGCGCCTTCAAACAAACAAACTACTGAGCTTTATGTAATAGTAAAGTATTGTTAGAAACATAGATCAAAAAAAAAACGAAACGTCATCGCGTAGCGGGAAAATGAATCTGTGGTTCGAAAAATGAAAAAGTCAAGATGGCGGGAACTCGGAAGTTATTAAGGCGGCGTATTTGGTGTTGAGGGAATTTTAATCCTTTTGAAAGTCAATTTATTTAGTTATGTGTTGTTGTAGTTTTTCTTTCCAATTAATAGTTATGGTTTAGCTAGTCCTGATTTTGTAATTTGATTTCGATGTTAACAATATAAGATGCATTGTAATGGTGGTACTCTCTATTTTCCTGCCTTCTGAGTTTCTAAAATCGAATGTGTTTTAAAACAAATAAGTTTCTAATATCAAAGAGTAAGGAAAACTCTATGATAGTGTTTAAGTTTTCTAATAGTATATTGTTATAATATTAATTAATTTATTACTTATGTCTTACGACATCTGTTATGAGAATTACTATAAAAATGTATTTACGTACCGTTAGATAAAATATCGTCATCCCTCTTCCGTCGGGGGCCGACAGAAGGACGCACCGTGTGTATGTCCTGGCAGCGACCCTGTCTGCAGACCAGTCCATCATCACACCCTGGCTCCAAGAACTCCTCTTCTACCTGAACACCAATAAGCAAGATGAACGAGACGGAACATATCCCATCACACATTAGTGGCCACTGCTGATCAAAGACCTCTTCTCACACGGAGACGGTTTGAGCATTAAACACCACGCTTGCTTAATGCGAGTTGGCGATTCAAACTTATAATTAGAAATTATAAGCTTAGGTTTCCTCACGATGATTTCCTTCACAGTTTCTCAATGGTAAATGATCTTAGAAAGTACATGAATGGTCTAAATAAGGCGTTGACATGCACTCTATTCTGAGAATGGTAAGCTCATCTCATACTTTAAAAAACCCATTGAAAATGTCAAAATGTCAAAATACTCACCTATCGTAATTCTAGTTACTGCCGTCATCACTGGTGGCGCTAGTGTTGGACCTACTTGTTTTTAGAAAACGAAACTATAGTCTCACCACAGATTAAAAAGTGTCTTTACATATTATCATTCAAAGTGGTGGGTGTTACATTGTACAGTGGCATAATGTGCACCCCTGCCTACCCCTTCGGGGAAAAAAGGCGTGATGTTATGTATGTATGTTATGTATATTATTATTCAGAATAACATAGATGATGGAGCCAGAGACGCTCTGGTGACACATAGCCACCGCGGCGTCTATGCGGCGCATACGTTTATCGAACGTATGCTTGACAAACACAAGTGTGAAGGATCTTTTATACGGAAGCTCGTACCTTACATCTAGCTCTTACCTCAATTTCCACAGTGCCGTTAACCTTCTGCAAAGTCTTCTTGAACTCAGCGCACTTCTCGTTCAACTCTAAAAAGAAGAAAATTAACTATAAATAAAAAATAAACGTATGATCATTACAATCTACAACCTCTTCGATTTAGAAAAAGTGCCTATTGACTTAAACTGAGCAAAAAATCGTACCATTAAAACTATTTACCAAAATAAAACTAAAAATCATCTTCAAGCTAAAATAATTCTATCTCTTTTCCTCCCAAAACCACAAGTTTTACAGTTGCACAAGTGCGAAAAGGATAAATATATCTTACGATGGTATACACTGCATCGCCCGCAGCAGTTGCATTGGTCCTTGTCCGGCAGGAATCCTCCAGGGACGCAGTTCTGTTCAGGAACTAATAAGCCTTTACATTCGTAGCCGCGGCAGAAGATTGGACAATCACCGCTCGTAGCGACTTCGTAGCGGAAGCTACGACGGCTACGAAAATTGAAAGAATAGTTGTATTTTCAAATAAGTGAAGAAAGACTTTTTTTTAAGGGGGGAAATCATCAAATTACTTCTCCCGCCTTCAGTGTCAGACTCTTACTGACTAAAAACCACCCCGTTCCCCGTTCCTTCTCCTGCACTTCGAGCCGGAGCCCCGGTAACCCGTTAGGTTCTCTGCGGCTCCGTATCGGCATCAGCCCCATTGGGCCCCCCAGCCGTGGTGGTTTGATGGCTATATGAGGCGCGCGCGGAACGCGACGCGCCGTACGCTCGGGTCTGGTTCTGGTCGGGCGGCGAGCCACCCATGCTCGCCGTCCGCAGGCCCGGCTTACGGTGGCCGGAGAACGTCCCGCGATATATTAAAAATAAATAGATTTACCTCTTCTTCATGATAAGTATATCATTAAGTATTAGGTTAACACAGATTATATTAATTCAAGATCTTTAATGCTTACATATTTAAAGTTTCATTTGGTAACGGCGGCACTGTTACTGGAACGCCTGAAAATACAAAGCACTTCCAATCAGCTATGTTAAATCATGTTATTGGTTGTGAGAATAATCTCGACCAATGACGGGCGAGAATACGATAGAGGTAATTTCAAATGTTCGAATTGACAGTTACAGAATAGCCTAACAGATCACTTTAAAAAATCAACTTGCAAAAGATAAACTAATGCCTATTGTCCGTGACGCTTCGTTTGATGAATGCATGCAACTTACACATACATCTTGCACAGAAACAATGAAAACTGACCACGAAGCAATAGGGTAGATGCCTAATTTTTCTTCTAATGTCCATCTGGTAGATTGTTTCAAATCATTAGACACGTATTTTTTCTTTTCTTACAGAAATGAATACTTTCGACGATATATTTATTTGAAATGTCACGTGACGTCACTTCTATGTACATTTTATACGTAGAAATGACGTTTTAGCCCCCACGCCTAAACTTTAATTCGTTTTATCTATGTATTGTTTTATTATACGACAACATAAAAAATAATTCTTATATTTTTTCATTACCTAACTTACGGACTAATTATATTTTTAATTTCCATACCCTGTCATCAACCCAAATGTAGGTCGCCTGTCGCCATTGTATTCATTCGGCAACCAACCTACAGGTTGTGTGCATTCGACAAATGCCGCGTGGACAGCACGCCTAAATGAACGTTAAAAACGCATTTCTCTGTAAACACTGGGGGGGTCCACTGGTAGGAAATATGGTCTGGCAAACGAAAGTAGAGACTGAAAAAGCCCGGCAAATTTAAAAAATATCAGTATAACAACCCAAAAATTAGTATGTCATACCTGGAGTAACCTAATTTGATACTTTATAGAGGTAATAATTTGTTTGTTTGTTTGTTACGTCTTCACGTCTGGTTACTCAGGTATGACATACTCATTTTTGGGTTGCTATACTGAATTTTTTTAAATTTGCCGGGGCTTTTTCAGTCTCTACTTTCGTTTGCCAGACTGTATCAACTTTCATTAAAATCACCCATGTATAATAAGTACCTACTTAGGTACGTAAATTATAAATCTTATTTACTAATATTATAAATGCAATTAAAGTTTATAAGTTTGTGTGTTTGTGTTATGCTTTGTACTCAATCACGTCAAAACGGTTGAAGGGATTCGGATGAAATTGAGAACAGGGGTTTTTTTTTAAGGGGAGATATCATCGAATGACTGCTCCCGCCTGAGTGAGGCGGGAGGGAGTGTCAGACTCTTACTGACTAAATACCACCCCGTTCCTTCTCCTGCACGTCGAGCCGGAGCCCCTGTTTCCCGTTAGGTTCTCCGCGGCTCGGGGTAGATTATGGTCCGAAATAACACATAGACTACTTATTATATCACGGGAAGGCGGGCGAACCCGCTGTCAGAAGCTAGTAAATAAATAAAGATGAACTCACATCTCCGCAGTATTTTGTCGCATCTCAGGGCACGGAACTCTTGTTCTGGGTGACCCCAATACGGGTTACATCCCGCTCTGAAATCTGGAACATTTATATCAAAGTTTAGCTTAATACCCGCCTTTGGAGCATAGCCAACACTTGCACTGAATATTAGTTCATATAAATCATGCCTTCCAACTTTGACCTTTGTGGAACACTGGATCGTGGTAGATATATTCACTTCCCTATGTACATTAAGTACTCTGTTCACGAATTATACGTACAATATAACCGTAAAAAGTTTTCGTTTTCAATCCTAGATCAGCCGGAAAATGTAGCCTATAATTATAGATAGTTAGTGAACATGGGCTAATTGATAAAGTCTTATGATGAGACCAATAGCCATCGGCGTGCATTTGTTCGGCTCATTTGTTCCACTTTAAAAAAATCTGACGTCATCCTGAAGATTGTAAATTTTGCAGGATCGCAGTTAATTCAACAACAGTTTAGAGGATGATGCTGCTCATCTCTGCCCTGCCAATATCCAATAGGTCTTACCCTGGCGCTAACAAACAATGAAGAAAGCTTGCTCAAAATGTTCCTGACAGTGAAGTGTAGAAAAAGAACATATAAACGTTTATTTCAGACGACAATCGAATACTAAATATCCTCCTTCAATTCGTCTTTCGCATACCCTATTACCGTAAATAAATTCAATTTTCTATACCAACTTCGTTTTCTGTAGAACACGTATTTTCATTGCGTTACCAAATGCGTATACCTTTAAGCTACGTACATACAGGTTAATATTGTATTAAGAATACAGTACTGACTGCCTCGTTGGCCAAGTGGTCGCAAGTGCAACCAGGCAAGGGGTCTCTAGTTCGATTCCCGGGTCGGGCAAAGTATTACTGGATTTTGTAAAAAATCTCAGTAGTAGCACGGAGTCTGGAATTGTACCCGGTATATGGCAATAGGCTCACCCCCCATTACATGGGACTCATAACATAAATAGTGTAAAGTTGGTATTACGCTGTACTGTGACATAATGTGCTTTGCCTTACCCCTTCGAGGATAAAAGACGTGATGTTATGTTATTAAATCATTCATACGCACCTATAGTAGTAGTTGGCAAAAACTCTTCAGTATCAAAACTGTATTCATCTTCCACACAAGATTGATCCAACTCTAAAAAAAAATTGAAAATCAAAATAGGTTTGCTATAATTTCAGCACTCGAGAGACGGAACATCGCAGCTTAAAAGGTCCAGTATAAACCTGAACTGAACATTTTTAAACTGTGATCTCTCTGACAACAGAGAGCCCTGCGGCCTGATTTCAATTAAATGTATAGTCTTCTAGTCGGTTCTTAGGACACGCGCGAAAAAAGTAACGATAGAGTTTCTTGCTTGTTCTTCTCCATTGGAAACTATACTTGGGGATAAGCATCTAGCTTCGCTGACGGACAGACTGCGGCCAATTAACCTGTCCTTTCAACTACTAACAACTAATAAAACTACCACAAAATTAAGTTCAACAGTTCATTAATCTGCCGTCACAACTCGACACTGGCAGTATAGTCGACAAGACCGTTTCAGAGACTCGTTTATCAAAGAAAAAAAAAATTGACGTTTTACAAGTAGCTAAGTAATAAATGTTTTGACGTTGACTTTGACCCGCGTGGTACTCTGAAGCCTTAGTACAAGTTTGTTTTACGCTTACAGTTTGCGTAACGAGTACGCGTTCGGCGCTCTGATTGGTTGGTTCATTGGGGCCGGCCAATCAGATTGTCAAACGCGTTATCGTCTCGAATACTTTAAACGTAAATCAAACTCGTACCAAGGCCTCTGGCTCGTCACTAGTTCGCTCAGTTTCGCTCGCGACTATTTCTCTTCTCACTATTTTTTAGCAAACTCTCTACTACTTTACCTCTAAAGAAGATGCACTCGTCACAACACCGGCACTGTGTGTAATCAGCAGGCAGGAACATTGCACGCCACTTGCCATACTTGCGATCACAGTACGTGCGATATTCTGACGGACTTACCCTGCGTTCTCTGCAAAATAGCCGTATCTATAGGTACTTCATAGAAGAAAATAACCTGCAGGAAAATAACAGTCAGCTGAGTCAGCCGAGTTAATAATACGTAGGACAGTTGATCATGTCCGTGGAACTTCATTGTTTGGGCGCTTTCATGGTTGTACCGTACTTAAACTGTCAAACACCAAGCGGTCACCGGTGACCGCAACCTATTGTTCTATAATTGTGTCTACAAAACCGGTACTCGTCGAGTTAATTACTGTATATCATGGACTAGCTGCTTCCGCGCGGTTGCACCCGCTCTGCTCGGCTCCTATTGATCGTAGCGTGATGTTTTGTAGCCTATAGCCTTCCTCGATAAATGCACTATCCAACACAAGAAGAATTATTGAAATCGGACTGGTAGTTTCGGAGATTAGCGCGTTCAAACAAACAAACAAAAAACACCCTCTTCCGCTTTATATAATAGTATAAGATATAAGATTACAGAAGTTACAGAAGCGACTTCGGAGGTCTAAACATTCAATATCACTTTTACCATTGCAAAATTTCATCATCAACAGCCTATAATGCCCACTGCTGAGCAAAGCCTCTTCTCACACGGAGGTTTAAGCATTAATCACCACGTTTGCTCATTGCGGGTTGGCGATTTCAAACTTATAATTAGAAATTATAAGCCCAGGTTTCCTCACGATGTTTTCCTTCACCGGTTGATAGTGGTGTCTAAATAATTTTAGAAAGTACATATAACTCGGAAAAAGTCACATTGGTACTTGCCGTTGGTAGGTTCCGAACCCGCACCCTCATGCATGAGAAGCGGTTGTCTTAAACCTCCGGGCCGTAAAATACTGAGAGTATCTACTAAGGAGACTGGATAATTTACCGAGCTACGTACGTAATCATCAGAAAAAAAAATAAGAAAAAATATGTTTACTTGCAAGAGTCCCTGAACAGTTCGCATTCAGTATGATTATTGAAATGAGGGCATTGGGGGCACTGCTGGTAATCTAAAAAAAAACAAAAGCAAGTTATTTCAGAACTTCAATTCGTGTTTTTAAGGTCCAATTTTGATTGTATACAGAGAGAGTTGTTCAGATACGGTTAATAAATTGATGCAAAAGTTTCGCAATGAGAGCAAATCCAACCATTATTTTCGCAATGTCTAGAACAAATTTAATTTGTATTTGCGTCAAGCGTGTCTTTACATTGTTCTCACATATATGTACAATATTAGAATATGTATTAGAGACATTGTAAAACCGACTTTTTTTAAAAGAGTATCCAATGGAGTTTCTTGCTCGTTCTTCTCCACTCGAATCTACATTTTGGAACGCGCACCTAGCTTCACTGACGGACAGACTGACAGACTATTATTTATTTTATATTTGTTGACGTTTCAAAACTACCAAATTATGGTTTGATTGTAATAAACGCTTTTGAGTTTTGAAATTAATATAATTAGATCGATTTTTGACTAGAAAGAACTCCATACAACTAACCCTTTAACCGCCAAGATTCTGAACTTTCAACTTACCTCCAGCGCCACGTCACTTTAGGTATAAGTTGGAACAGTGTTGGAAACACTTAATATCGATGCATATATTCTTTAATCATTAAAAAATTAAAATCAATGTTTTATTTACCTAATTAATAAATAATCTAAAAATTTTCAATCTTCAAACGAAGTATACGAAAATGTGTATTTGGGAAATGGGCACGGCGTCGTCCGTTCTCCTGCTGGCGACGGTGACGATGCTCCACGAGCATGTCGTATTTAATTTAATATTTTCATGTAAACTTCTGAGCGGATTTCCGACCGTACGGTTTCCAGCTCAAAAGGTTTTAAAGATGCAAAGTATTCATTTCGTGGATCACTTGGTCTCTGATCAAAAACTTTTGCGTCACCATCTTCTAACTTTGCATAATGGACACATTTGGTTTTGACTGTGTTGATTTATTTGAGAAATAACAAAAACCCAAAAAGGGGTTTACAACACTAGTTGCATTGAGTGATAAATGTTTAACGTGATTTTACGGTGACGGCGCTAAGGCAACTCACAATACAGCGCTTTAATCTCCTTGGCCGCACGTAATATTACGGTGATGGCGACCGGCGATTGTCCGCACTAGTGCGGTTCTGCGTTATGAAATTTTTATATTATTGTTATAAATATTAAATAATTTTAAACTTAAATACATTTTAATTAGTACAAATACTTGCATCAAAGTAACACTATGGTTATTTTCTAATGAAAGTATACACTTTCATTGCAAATAGTGACAGTAATATCTATAGTGCCTTGTTTGTTCTTAGACAACCTATTAAGTATTTTTCGAATTCGCCCCATCCCTAGTACTCGTAAAATTACGTGATTGGCGATACAGATAATGGAGACGGTGACCACAATTTAATTAAACCTCAAATTTCACAGTATTTATCACTCAAAACATTGAGAAATATCCATAACAATAAAGATTATACCCTACATCTTGAAATTGACACATTTTATATGGAGTTTATAAATAAAATAACGTGATTGCTCTATAAGAAGATTTTAAATAAAATAACGTGATTGTACGTATGTGGCGATTCGGACACAGCTTTCGAAAACCGTAATATTACGTTGTCGGCGGTTAAAGGGCTAATGTCCACAATCGATCCAGATCCATAGTTTTGGATAGCTATTCAAAAGTGATTTTCGTCAAAATTATTTAGTTTACAGATACTACGAAAGATAAAGGTGAATAAATAATTTTACTATCAAGACCATCATCCGAGGGTGAGGATGAAAAAAGTCGCCGAAATACCAGATTCTTTCGTTTGATGTCACTTCGTGTGTTGACCCGTCTTCTTGTCACACAGGGACACTTATGATGGTGTATGTATGTACGAGTTTTAACCTTAAAGACTTCTGGACGATACCGCTCACAAGAGCATATCTCGTTGAAACTACGACGCTGCGGTATAAGCTCTGAATAACAAAATATTTATGAAAATACGCCAAGAATTGGGACCTTTCCATGCTCCGTACGGCTCGTGCCACGGAAACTTAACAGGTTATCAAGGCTCAAAGAGCAGGATTAGGAACTGGGTGGTTTTTAGTCAGTAAGAGCGTGAGACTCTCTCTCGCCTCATCAAATAGAAGTCATTGGATTTAGCCCCCTTAAAAAAGGCTCCGTACAGCTGTTGAGTGTTTTGTATAGTACACAAACATGCAAACAAAGCTGCAGATGGATCAGCTCATAACATAAGCAACTTAACAATCAGCACAGCCCATGGACACCAAGAACACCAGAGTAGATACAAGTGCGTTGCCTTTTAGGGATTTGAGGAACACCGTAGATAGATAGAAAACCGACGTGAAGCAACGCTTGCGTTGTCTTTCGTCGTGTGAGTGAGGTTACCGGAGGCCCAATTACCCTCCCCTTCCCCAATCTCCCCAATCCCTGAATCCCCAACGATCATCAAACTCCAAATCCCCAAAAGGCCGGTAAAGCACTTGTATCGCCTCTGGTGTTCCAGGTGTCCATGGGCGACGCCGATTGCGTACCATCAGGTGATCCGTCTGCTCGTTTACCGGCTTATGAAATAAAAAATAATGTGACCCTTATTTATTCTGTCTTTTGCTCATTCCTTTAAAACTAGGATTTCTAAGATAAAAATACACAGTTTCTCACCAATAGTGTTCCTGCATATAGGTCGAACGGTTCTGAAACTGTTGATGCGCACCACGCTGTGCTCCGGCGCAGTCTGTTCACACTTGTCATAGTCTATGCCAACTTCATCGTTCCTCACGAGAGACAGGATCTCTGTTTCCCTCCAATATTCACTCGTATCCATGTCTCTATCTATCAGCATTATGAAGGGGAGGTACTAGGAAAGGATTTGAACGTAATGAGTTATAATCTTCGTGAGAGGCATAAAGTTATAATTTCAAATTACAAGTTTGAAATCACCAATTATAATGATCAATACTAGCTGATCACATTATTTTTTTATGGCATAAGCCGGTAAACGAGCAGACGGATCACCTGATGGTAAGCAATCGGCGTCGCCCATGGACACCTGGAACACCGGAGGCGTAACAAGTGTGTTACCGGCCTTTTGGGGATTAGGAGTTTGAGGATCGTTGCAAATTCAGGGATTGGGGAGATTGGGGAAGGGGACGGTAATTGGGCCTCCGGTAACCTCACTCACACGACGAAACACAACACAAGCGTTGCTTCACATCGGTTTTCTGTGAGGCCGTGGTATCACTCCGGTCGAGCCGGCCCATTCGTGCCGAAGCATGGCTCTCCCACACTTTACTCTTCACCCATTGATTTCCAATTAAGGCCCTTTAGAAGAGACCAGCATGAAGTCTATCCACTAGCTAAGTGGCTTCCTACCACCTTTATCAGGTCGTGGTGGACGACCACGCTGTGAGTAAATAACAATAATAATTATCATCATGTCAGCTCAAGACATCTACTACTGGACATAGGCCTTCTCCATTAACCTCCAGATTGACTCTGTTGGAAGTAAACTGTATCTAGTGGCTCTCACGGTTGTTGCCGGTACATGGCATTTGGCATACAGTAGGTACATACATCTGGTACATATTACTAAATGACATTTAGGTGCAAAGAAACGAAGCGTCAAGAAAAAATAAAAAGAATCTCTTGCAGCTCCATTTCTTTGCTTCAAAATGTCGTTGTCTGTCCATTCACATACTTTTAAGTTTTCCGAACTATTTCCGTCTACTGGCACGGGGATAGTCGGTCTATATTCCAAAGAGAGCACGGGTACCATACTCTTGCACGAAACATGCTCAACATTAAACAATACAAAAATATAATTAACTAACAACACACATAAATATTTCATTATTATTGATTTATTTTACTATTTTTTTTTTCTATGGATCTATATGTTGTATATTTATACAAAACTGACAACATGTTCGCACGAGAATGACGTTTAAGTTTTCTGTGTGGAAACTATTTATTTCTGGCCTGTTACTCTTTAGGCATACATTTATTTACCTCTTTAGTCGAATTTCAAATGAGGTGAATATGTGAATACGGTATTGTGCCTATTTTTAGCAATAGATTTCATCATCATCACCAACAGCCGAAAGACGTCTACTGCTACTTCTGGACAAAGGCCTCCGCCTTAGTCCTTCTCGCCGAACACAAGCTCGCCACCAGCATCCATTGGCCCCTCTGCTCTGATGACGTCGTCGGTCCATCAAGCGGGAGTCCTGCCCACCAGTCTCCAGTCGAGCCGTTTCCTCGACCATCTGCCGTCAGTCCTTCAATAAACTTACCCCTTATATTTATTACAATTAGCAACACATTCGAAGAAAACTTAATTGTATATGACTAAAGGAGCTAAAATTAAATCTGCTGTAGCAACCATTCTGACAATAGAATAATTAATTAGCTAAAATGAAACAAAGTATCACATACAATCGTTTATTCGTCGTGTAAAATACGATATACAAAAAGACACTATACCAACCGAGAGTAATAGGCTATGTCCCAGACATAGCATAAAGTTCCCATTCTGCACGCACAACTTTTAACAAGGATTCCAAATTACCCAGCAGGGTAGCATTATTTACCCTTACAATTAAAAGCAGAGCCGTATTACCCCTGAAGTAAACTAGGCAAGGGCGCCACAGGATACAGGAGGCCGCCGAGAGACGAGCATGCCCAAATGCCAAAATAGTGACGGTGGCATCAAAAAAAAAATTACGATTACGAGGTACTTGCCTAGGGCGCTCGCTAGTTTTAATCCGCTTCTGAGTAAAAGGGCAAAAGGGTAAAATTGAGTTTGACCCCAAACTTGTCAAGATAAGTATACAATGTTAAAGTATTCATTGATATTGCAAAAACAATATTACATTGCTTTGAATTTGCGTGCAGAAAATATTAAAATAAAACCATTGAACACAATCCAATCGAGTTAACACTTCGATCATAATTGGAGATTTTACATTTAAATTGTACATTCTTTATTCATACTGAAGAACCTCGGTAATTCGAAAACATATTCTAATCCCTCACTTTCAACTTGATTGATTCAAAAATTCGTATTTCTTTTAATCTCCTTTAAAATTTAGGTCACTGGTTTTAAAAGTATCCATCATCATTATCATTATTACAGTATTTAGGTATCGAAAAAATCGTTCGAAATACAGAGGTTTTACAGCATTCGATTACAAATATAAGGTCACTTTGTATGCAAGTTTTATTCTATAAAAATCTGAGCAAATCTTTGTTTGAGATAGAATAATTTATCGTCTAGTAATTCTACAATTATTACGTTTAATTTAGGAGACATGAGAAATATAATTTCATTGAAACTTGCCAGAAATATAAGTAACTAGATACCAAATTTGAAAGCACGTACTTTTATTTAATTCCAGAGCCGTATCATCCCTAAAGCAAACTAGACAAGTGCTTAGGGCGCCAGAGCAGGAGTAGGAACGGAGTAGTTTTTAGTCAGTAAGAGTTTAACACTCCCTCTCGCCTCACTCAAGGAAGTCATTGGACGATCCCCCCCTTAAAAAAAGGGCGCAGAAGAGCAGGCCAGGTTACCGCAAGATGTGCGTGGCAACTGCCCATACAGTGACGAAGGCGCCAAAAATTAGGAGCGCCCATAACGTGGTTTAGGTCCACATACATACTAATTGTTCAAACATCATACTAATGTTCCCAAAACCTTGGAGGAACTATTAAATATTGCACCGGTAGTTTTTATTCTATCGTGCGTATAAAATTAATATGACTTCCTCCTACTGTTGTGTTTCTTGGCTACTATAAGTAATATAATTTCTTGTTTGTTCATAATTCCATGCAAAACATACTTGTTAGGCACTCCAAGAAAGGTTAAATAGAGACAAGTGTGGATCCAGGTTTAAATGATCAATAAATATTCATTCAATTTGCTGAATTAATCCAAAAACCGAAAACCCATATTATAGATGTTATCTATTTTCTTGAGCACTAGTAATTTTATATGAGATAAGAGGGTAAACCAGCCGACAGATCACCTAATGGTGAGCAATCAGCACTTCCCATGGATATCAGCAATAATAAAGGAGTTACAAGTACATTACCGGCCTTTTGAGTAGTGAGCGAATAACGATACTTCGTAAACGTGAATCATAGTCCTTATTTTAATACTTTAAAGTTTTGATGGCTAACTGAGGCGGGCAAATGGGTATTTTACATTGTCCTTTCATCGTATGGATCCACGCCCGAGTTGTGTAGACATAGATAGGTACCTCAATTTTCACTATTTATAAGTATTTATGCATTGTGAGCTTCATCCATATAAGAGGTGTATACAATAGTAAACAATTATTTTAACCCAGGCTTTTCTACTTAATCGTCTATTTCTGTCTATAATGGGGATGATGACAGGGTATGAAAATTAAAAATATAATTAGTCCGTAACTTAGGTAATAAAAAAATATTAGACACGTATTTTTTTATTTTGTTGTATAATAAAACAATACTTAGATAAAACGAATCAAAGTTTAGGAGTGGGGGCTAAAACGTCATTTCTTAGTATAAAATGTACTGAGAAGTGACGTCACGCGACATTTCAAATCAATATATCTTCGAAACTATTCGTTTCCGTAAGAAAATAAAAAATACGTGTCTAATGTTTTTAAATAATCTACCAGACGGACATTAAAATAAAAATTAGTCGTCTACCCCATTAGGTAGTTTACAGGGTATCAAAATTAAAAATCTAATTAGCCCGTCAATTAGATAGGTAATGAAAAAATATTAAACACGTATTTTTTTATTTTCTCGTATTACGTTGCAATACTTAGATAAAATGGCGCTAAGTTTAGGAGTGGGAGGTTGTTACGTCATAACGTGCTACAAAATGTGACACGCTGTGACATCACACGATATTTCAAATTAATATATCATCGAAAGTATTTAATTTTGTGAGAAAAGAAAAAAATACGTGTCTAAAGTTTTAAATTAATGTACCAGACGGACATTAAAATAAAATTTAGGAAACTACCCTATTATACATAAGTATTGAAGTATATAATCATGGCAGTGTAATTTTACATTATTTATTTATTTCTATTTAGTGTTATAGGTAGGTAAACATATAATATCGGGTTATTTTTCACGCATTAATGCTCAAATGTTGCCACAACTAAAAAAAAATATTAGTCGTTTTAAAATAATACGGAAATCTGTGCAACCAAACAAGATTTTATGACTTATTTCAAAGTAACTTTGTTTTATATTTAAGTAGGAAAAAATTTATACGACTTTTTATCTTTAATTTTTCGACCAAAAAGTAGCTAAAGGTCAAAAATCGTACTAACACTATTTCAGCAGCAATGCGTAAAAATATTTCATATAATTTTTATACGAACTTTAGGTTTTATATCTAGAATACTGTTTAATTTTAAAACAACACATTTTAGCCTAAAATATTAACTAACATTTTATTTATTAATAATTCACTTCAAGTGTAGTGCCTATATCGGCAGATATTATAGACATAATTATATAATTATGTACGTATAAAAACTGCTTGCGGATTTAGTGTTTTAAGAATAAGGTAGGACTTTGCTGAAGGCAAATCTTTTCTTTGAACTTGCTGTATAACCTCAAAGATGAAGGGTCATGATAAATACCCAGTGCAATAAAATTATGAATTCCGTAAGAAGCTGAGAATTTCGATCAACGGATAACGCAATAGCTTGATTATAAGCCAGGATCAGATCTCACTATCTCACTAACGGCCCCTATGACTAATCATATAGTCAGTTTAATATATTTTACTTTACGTAAGTCTAATAATATCTGCCGATATATAACATGCCCAAACATAGCTAGTCATCAAAATGGACGGACTCTCAAAACATTTCATTCAAAATAGACTCAACTTTTAAACAAAAAACCAACAAAATTGACTAGACATCGTAACACAGGCTGAATAGAAGACATGACCATAAACAAAAAACCATAACCATGTAGAGGTGTCAGTTTTTTCATAAAAAAAGTTCAAACTTTTCGCTTCCAAGTTCAAAATTTGAAATGACAATTATGACAGTTGCCCGCCATTTTGTAAAATTAGAGAGAGACACATTGCTACTTTTTTCTTGACAGAGCCCTTGTTACTTATCTTAGAAATTCTGACATTATTTTGTCCTTCAAAGCAAAAAGTTAAAACTTGTAGTTACACAATAAAACAAGTTGCAGCTATAAAAATTCATTACAAAAAAGAGCAAACTAAATGATGCCCCCACACCGCTGTTATAAAGGTTTACTAATATTCATCATATCCTTCCTTTGAACTTAGATCCTCCCTAATGAGTTCCAGATCTGACAGTTTAAGGCGACCTGAATCCAGAGGGTCATTGCTACCTTTTCAGATCGTCTGTCTGCCTTGTCTGGGTGGACGGCGAACTACTGATATGTTCACTAGGGATAGTGAACAATGGAACATATTTTTGTAAAATTAATTATAATGTTCATAAATAAAACAAAAGTTTACTAATTCTTGTAAACATTTTTGGCGGCAATGTGGGAGCATCCTACCACAGAGTATAAACGCCCAACAAACCACTCTTACGCCACAGTCTACAAAATTACGAACACATTACTCAAATTCTCTACTACGAATAAGATTCTTGTTGTAAAACTATAAAATATTCATAGCAATGTTTGCACGGAATATAGAATACAATGGAAGTAGCAAGTAGGCGTAGCACGCGTGCCACAATTAAGCTGTGCACTGCTTACTCGAGGCAAATTCGAGTTCAGTCTCGTTCGAACATGGCGTCGAGTTGCTAGTCTCGTGTCAAATACATATTTCCTCAACTA